TGACCGTCCTTGCAGTGTCTTCCAATTTGCTATGGCCTTGGATGCCGTTAACGACCGGAACACCCTACAGTTCATTGCCTTGACGTGAGTGTCTCCAATACCTACACGGTTGTTCAAACCTGCAACCACGACTCCAGGATCTTCAACGCCCTGTTCCTTGTGTATGCTATCATCCAGATTGGAGAAGTCGCAACCATCCCATCTACCACGTCTGGTCTCTCCATACATACGCTTTCCATCATCGTACCCATCGTCATCTCCGTCGCTGAGCTGGCTTACGTCGGCCTTGCTTACAAGATCTACACGGAGTTCGGTTGGAAAGTCTACAAGTTCCTCGGCGCGGACCGTCGGATGAAGACGATGTTCACCTACTATCAGATCTTCCTGTGTCTGGTGAAGTTCGACCTGTTCTTCTGGGCCGGCTTTTCGGTCCAGTTTATCTGGCTCGTCCTGGACAAGCACAACGCGGAGTACTACCTCACTTGTCTCGCGCTACCTCTGTCCATCATAGTTCTCATTGACGGGCATATCGCTGCCCGTAGCGAGAACAAGTGGATGATGTACACTTTCATGACTGGTTGTGTGGGCGCGTTGGTCTACTTCTTGTACAAGGTTAGTCAGTGCGCTTGCGCTCAAAGGCTTATATTGACTGCCATCCTTCTCAGTTGATCAAGGTCGTGAGGCTCCATCACACGAGTACGTTCGTAGATGTCTGGCAGACACTGACAACGTTCTGTGAGTAAGGTGATATTCAATGCTACTGCCTACCTGACTGTACTGTAGCCTTGCTCGCGATCATCCTTCTGCTCATGACCTTCGTGTTCGCCTGCATGGTCATGAACAACTTTGGGCGAGGATTGGCAAATCAGAGTGCGTAAACCTCACTCCTTGTCTCCGTACTCGTTCTTACCTCTGTCATAGTGGCAAAGAGGCAAGGGGCACGGCGCGGCAAATCACAAGACTTGTACCGAGGGCCTATGAGAGATCATCCGAACAGGATGAGTATCGAATAAGGGCTGCCTCGACTGAACCCAAGGACTTGTATCCATGTCATGTACCATCTCGCTATTTTCTCAATACGCCTCGTGGACATCGTCTTCATACTTACATCTCACACTTGCATTACCTAGTACCGCAACATCTGGCCATTCCACCACATATATTTTGGTGCACCGTTTCTTGTGGTCCCCACCAGTGCTCTACGCTTCTGGTTTGTTGTTGCTGGTCTTCAGTCACTGAGGCGTCTTACCTTACACCTCGTCGCATATTGTCATTTGGCCAACCGCTTCCTCTTCACGGTATATACCTGTTGCATTTGTCTGGAGGTGGTACACGCTGGTACGCTCCTGTATTGCTAGCTCTGGATAGCGGAGATAACAGAAGCGCATTCGTGGTCCAAGTTGGTGTGCCTGGCGTTTGGTATATTCCGTATCTCAGATCACCGTGAGGCTGGGTGGCAAACGTGGCGCGTCCCCTTGTAAACGCCCGTCCCGCCCAAGCCGCCGGCTATAACTGACCAAAAGACCTGATGAGGACAACAGGCCTGCTCACTCCATAATGTCACAACGGTATGCTCAGATACGGTGTTGGCCCAGGACACCTACTCACGCAGTGTAACAGATACAGAGCATCTGCGTCGCTGCATAACCGCACGGCGCTTCTGCCGGATACGTACAGCACTCCTCCGTCCTCAGGGCGGTCCTCTCCATATCATCAGCAACCAGCTGGCCACCGGTTCGCAGATGATTTGGAAGGTCAGAATGATGAGCATCTGGAGGGACTGCAGGCGAAGGTGAAGCTGCTGAAAGATGTGAGTGAGTGATTCGGTCTGTGTATGCTTGGCTGTGGCGCGCACACCGGTCGTATTGCTGACCGTCGGTTGCGTCTTCCTCAGATAACCATTGGCATCGGGAATGAAGTCAGAGAATCTACGGTGCAGCTGAGTCAGATGGTGTGTCTTCAATGAATGGCGTCGTAGTCGGACATCTCAAGTCTCCGTAACATATGTAGAACGACGCATTCTCGGAGACGTCTGGGATACTCGCTGGGACGTTCCGGCGCATGAACAACATGGCGGCACGGCAAGGGTGCCGCTGGCTCTGGTATATTGTCTTCCTCATCATCGTCTTCTGGTTCTTCATCATCGTGTGGTGGTTTCGGCGATGATGTCCACTTCGCACTAGTCGCAATGCTATCGCTTGCATATTTACATCCCATCATCGAATACATGGATTGGCTACATCGGCAAATAGTGTCGTATTTTGGTGTGTTGTCTCCTCTTTTTCAACAATGCAGGTGCCCTGCAAGTCTCTGGGCAGGGAGGAAGCTGTATATTTCCATTGTGGACGAGATGCACAAGAAACGGAAGTGGTGGTGAACACTAGATCTTCCTGCAGGGACTCCTACTACCAACTACCGACAATGCAACAATGCCAGACATTACTACTACTGATAGAATAAAAACGATAGGCCAGGCGGATAGTGTGTGTAACTAGGGATCGTCACGGAGCATCGCGTTGCCAATCTCCCATATCATGCGGCGACGCAGATATGGTATGTTAGTTTGCGTGAAGGAGAATCGCTCTTCGCCTCTTGAGAGGGTTTCAAGGAACTGACACGTGAAGACGCCGCAGTCATAGCCATTTTCTTGTTGGGGCGTGTCCTACGTAGCTCCGGGTAAGGATGTCGGGACGTTCCATTCCACAATGGCCTACCTTGAGTACATAGTCCTCCCAACCTGTGAAGTCGAACGGCGCGCCCTTCTTCTTGCGATGCTCCTTGTCGAGCCAATACTTCAGACGCTGAAGGAAGGTCAGCAAGCTCAGAGTAGACCTGCATCACGAGTTGTTTACCTCAAACACCGCCCGCCGTGGCATGCCCATACTATCATATGACTCTATCCGTTTGCGGCGGAAGTTGATAGTTGCAGCTGTCCAGTGCGTATTGTTATGGTTGATGGGGATGAGAACGATGTCTTTCGCAAATATGTCAAACTGGAAATAGATGAGAGAAGCCGTGTATGCGAGGTGCAGGAGCATACCTTTTTAGTCCACCTGTCCAACCTCGAGTCTTCGTAGGACTGCTTCGAGATTTTCTGCCAGAAGAACGTGTTGAAGTAGTAGATCTCGAGTGGCTTCTTCTTCCCGTTCGTGCCCGCTTTCCTCTTAATGGCCTCCGCACGGTTCATGATGAGCTGCCCGTAGAAGTTAACAATCTCGTCGTTGAGCCATGTGTTTGGCGTCAAGCGGGCTATATCCTTGTGGTCGATCTGAAGAGCACCGCACTTCGATACAACGCCGCGCTTGGAGAGCAGGTCGTCGACCATGGCATCGTCTTCGGGCGGTAACGATGTAGGCAGCCTTGGTGCGCGCAGGCGACGGTCGATGTCCTCGTCACGCTCACGTTGTGTAGCCAGTATCTTTTCGAGTGTCGGGGCGTCCAGCTTAGCCGGAGGAGGGCTGTCGGGAGAGGCATGAGATTGTAAACACTGATATGTCACTGTGCTCTTACCTTTTGAGCGACGCATCGACCTTGTCCCATGCGCGTTGCAAGAAGTCCTGCAGACCCAACGTGAGCTATGCCCGTGAGCTACTTCCTGCGCAAACGGACCTTGGTGAGGGGCTCCTCATCAATGGATCGACGCAAATCAGTCAACGATGCAGAAGCTATATACGACGCCAGTCAAATGACATCATGCAGGTCGCTTCGTTTTCCACTCACGAGAGAGAGCGGCCAAGGGGCTCTGCAACTTCTCCAGTCGGGCCTTATAGCGCAAGTAGCCTTCCCGGACATGTTAGTGTGCGCAGTGGGCGACGGCAGGCGTTCCTCACCTTTGAATGAAGCATAATCACCAGTAAATCCTGGGAGCACGCCGTTAAAGCTTATAAAAGGCCCATGTAAATACAAGCACTCACCCCCCTGTCGTTTGCGCTCGAACAGTGCCTTCTCCATCTCCTCCAAGTCCTTCTCTCTCGTCTCTTTCACCCTGGCCTTGTGCTATCGACCGCAGTGTGTGCATCAGCATGCCATGGAATGACGTACACTGGCTAACCTGCTTTGCGAATATGTGCTCCCGGGCAATATACTTCTTACGGCCGTTGAGATATTTCGGCGGCCCTGCGCTGGACTGTGGATTTGCAGACGGGGTGGCTTGCACCCGGGCGTCGATGCCATTGGGAGCTGGAGGCTGTAGCGCGACGGCGCGAGCCTTGACGGTTGGTTCCGATTTCCGTCGGGCTCGAGGAGGGATAGCGAGCTGCGAAGAACTAGACGAGGAAGCAGCCGGCGGGAGCTCCACTCCAACGATAGGCACCTTGGGGACACGATGTGAGGGCCTTCGTGGTAGCGAAGAGCTCGATGAAGGCTGGCTGGACGACTGCCCATTCTGTGGCCGTAGTTCTGGCTTGAATTCCGATGGAATAGCAGGGCGTGATGGATGACGCGGCGGCGGCGGAGAAGGCGGAAGAGGGGCTTCTGTTGGGTCAAGAGGAGGTCGAGGAAGATCTGCGTCGTCGGGGGCATCTGAAGATCCGCACGCGTCGGTGGCGTCTGGAGATGAAGCATTCTGGCGACTCACCTTGGGCTGGGAAGAACGACCGTATGGTCTTCTCGTATCCAAACTTGAGTATCTTCATCCCTACTTGAATGAGGTACGAAGCCCCGTCGCCGTTACTCGCAAAGATTTGCCTCTCGTTGGCGTGCGGTTCGGCGAGCCGAGGATGTTTCGCGGCGCGGAGTGGTAGGAGAGTCTCTGAGGGTGGACGCTTGCGAGCGGGCATGAGAGCTACGAGGCAAGCCCGCTAGGATAGCGCAGTAGGGTGAGACGAATGAAACGGTGAGAGTGCGTGTACTCGGAGGATGCTCAGCCACACAGGTGCTGTCCGGACACGGCGGACGAGGTCAGCTCAACCTCGTCCACGCGAACTGATCGGCGCGCACGAGCCTGGGCGCTTATTACGCTACATCCAATCTCTATATCAATTTGAAGAGCTTGTTTACATGCTTCCGTGGCTCAGTTGGTTAGAGCGCAGGTCTCATACCGCGAGTATGATAGGGAATACCCTGCAATCCTGAGGTCATGAGTTCGATCCTCATCGGGAGCATTTTTATCAACCAGGACAACAACTAAATGCTATGTGTACACTGTTTTTTGGTAGGAAGACAGTCAGTGGCTCTGTGTTGTTCTGTGTTCTGATGTGGGTCTTAGCAGATGGTGTTATTGATTCTATGCCGTGGTCGAGATAGTCGTTGCTGAGATAGTCGACAAGGTGAGTGAGAATAGCAGAGAGGCGATCGCGGAAGGCAGCAGCAAAGAGGCGGGAACAAGCGGAGGGCGGGGGAGGTCGTCACAGAGGGTGTCCATGCGCTCGACGTAGTCTAGGAGGGCACCGAGGAGGCTGACGGTGGCGTCGTGGTAGTGGCGGGGGCGTGCGCAGGGAAGAACGCGGCGCGATGCGCTGCAACAGCGCCGCCCCGCGTGCGCATGCGATGTGGGCGGACTGAACGCGACTGTGGGGGTGCGAGGGCGGGGATCGAACAGAGCCCGCTAGTGCCTGCGCGGGGGATCCAACGCCGCGCCGTTCTGGGATGAGTATGAATCTACGTCGGTCATGGAGAAATGAAGCAAATCATTGGCACATCGGTTCATGTAGCGCAAGAACCTGACAAGTCTGTATATGAGTAGCCCAGAGCCGAGGTGAAAAGTAAGCGGTGCTGAGCTCGGTAGAAAAGTATGCCTGGTGGGTCGATACATATCAGCACACAAGACGTGTGCCAAATATAACATTACTGGGTCGAGACATAGACCAACAGGGTAACGTTGTTGCTGCCGGCACTCGGGGTGTCTCTGTCCGACCTTGTCTTGCACCGAGACCCGGGTGTAAGGGCATCCTGGATCCCACCGGCTCTGAATCGTGAAGTCATGCTGACCCCGACGGTCGCTTCACCGCGAGCTTGGCCGAATTTCGATTAAATATCGCCGGGCCGAGCCAATACACTGCTGACGTGCCTCATACAGTTCGCGATCTAGGTGTTACGTTCTTCATTCCGTATTCAAGCAGGGGAATGTATATCAGGAAGTTCTCTCCAGCCGTTCTCCGCAGGAGGAATCCTAAGCCTCAGGGTCCCGAACGTTATGCGCCGCGACCGTACGCGCGAGGACAATTGATATAGTGACAGCACTCACCACGATGAAAATAAAAGGGTTCTCCTCAGGACAGCCGCGATAACGCGAAACCAGCCTTCCCCTGGATCATGCCAGCACCGTATGTGCGACGCCGCCCGGCCACTGTCGCTCTGGCGGTGTAATTGGCGGCTTGAGCGAGTCGACCTGGTCCGGGGGCTAATAGGGTCCCCGAGGACTACCCACAGCCATGAACTACGGTGCGCAACCGAGCACCTTGAACTACGATTACCGCCAACGCGTAGGTCGGGTGTGACAAATTTCCACCGCAAGTATGGTTGCGACGTAACGCATCTGCATCGTGAATGTGTTCTGCCGCGATCTGACCATCGCACTGTGCCCACGCACCTCGACCCATCAAGGCCCGCTACGGCGTTCCCCTCCTGGTACGAGTCCGCAAATCATTGGTCGTTCATATGCGTTTGGGGTTCTGGGACCACTGATATTTAATCATACGCTACCGCGATGTATCTATTCAACGGTGACTTACCGTTTGACTCAAGGGTAACTGGTCTGGCAGCCAAGTCACCCCGCCTGTGGGACTGCCTCACTGTTTGCGGCTCGTCGTCGAGACCCAGGGCTCGATTGAGTGTGCCGTGTGGTACTGTGACTCAGCGCGCGGGCCGTCCGCACGTATGGGATGATTGTTACAGATCGCCGGGGCCGCCCATACTGCACTCGTACCTCGGCCTCAGCTCAGCAGTGGCGTTAGAGCGCGGCTACTAGCGCTGTGGGCTCAGTAGAGGAGAGGAGATATGTGCCGTGATTAGAACATTCTAGAGTGCGCATGTTCGCCAGAAGAGAGCAGATGCAAATGTAGAGTGTCTCGCCTTGTTTGCCGCACCGGAACAGTGGCCAGCATACAGACGTCATCCGTGCGGCGAAGCCGGTTGTGTCGCAGAAGATCGACATATATTGTCGCGGTGAGTACGCATGGAGGAATTCAGCCGAGCAGTGAGACGAATAAAACAGGGAGGCAGGGTCGGCGGGAGAAAGAACGTATGGAGGTGGATGGAAGCGTGGCAGATCGGAGGATGATGTCTTTGGGCGCCTCTGCGGGCGTAGCGTGGAAGCGCCGCAGGAGGGACTCTCACCCAGACTCGACGCTTCGAGGATAAGATAGGCGGCTCAGGCCAGTCCACCGACCGCGGAGACCGTCCATTCTATATTTCCTCTGTGCACCCTCCCCCGGCGGTCCGACCTGCTGCACTCATCCCTTCACACGTTGACGCGAAACAGTATATAAGCCCCTCAGGCGTCCGGCTGCCCTCGTCCGCGTGCCCCCGATCCTCTTTGTCTCGCTTGCGACCTCCACTCACTCTACAGGCTACCATCCCCCCGCATCTCTCCTCCGAGATGGGCATGAGCTACCGCCGATACTTGAACGGCATCCGCATCTACGGGTGCTCCAACTGCAAGACGCACCTCGCCACCATCGACTCAATGATCTCCCGCGTGCGTTACTCGCTCTTCACTCGCCCCCTCTCATGCTGACGCCTCTCCCTCTCACAGGCTTTCCATGGCCAGCACGGCCGTGCGTACCTCTTTGACGAAGTGTGAGTCATCCGTTTCCACCGCGCTAATTTGGTCACTAAAAGAGGCGATCATGCGTAGTGTGAACGTTATCGAGGGCGAACCTAATGACCGTGTCATGACGACGGGTAACCACACCGTGCGCGACATCTACTGTTGCAAGTGCGGACGAACTCTTGGGTGGAAATATGTATGTCCCCTGCTGTTGCTTCACTGGCCCCTAAGCAAAGCTTACGACCGTGGCGGTAGGACCGAGCATATGAGCAGTCCCAGAAGTATAAGGAGGGCAAGTTCATCCTCGAACGGAACCTCCTTGCCGACGTGCAATGATCGCTGGCCGCTCACTCAACGGGTTGCGCTGCTCGGACAGCCTCTAGGCTAAACGCACCTCATCCGCGCGCACTGCTCGTTCAACAGCTGTCGGTCACATCGGTCTTGGTCTTGCCATCGCAATCGCATTGGATCCGCCCACCCTCCCCGTATCGCGCCGATGCCCATATCCGCGGGATCGCACGGAGTAGGTGTGCGCCCATACAGAGGTCCAGTGGTTGAGCGGGTGCTGTGCTCAGTCTACCCATCCCACCATGGCACTTCGGTGCAACCGTACATATTGGGAACGTCACATCCCGCTTATATGACAGCCTAGGCGGTATGCCAACGCTGCTTTCATCACTACTATCTCTCCTCCCTACTCCATCGATGTAGTCCATGCGATCGCTGATCGTCAACCTTACCAGAGTTGTACCGGCGTATTCATGGATGCGCCAAGTTCCTGATTACCTCATGTTTCATTCGTCTGTACGATGTTGGGACTTGTATAGAAATACCATTGTATGCATACACATGAAGATCTGATTACGGTGTCCATAGACAATATAGGCATAGCAACTAGTGTGAATGACAGTACGTGACCATGCGCGATCGCTGGCAAGTTATAGATGTCAGTGAACCTACGGTAAGTAACAACATAATACTAGTAGTCATGTCTTGTGTCTCGTCATACTTACACGCCCGTACTAAGTAATGTATCCAACTGGCAATTTCCGTGCAGCGGGAGGACTTTGCAACCCTGCAATGTTGCTCACAGTTCCATCATTACTGCGAGATGGTGCCAGACTTGTCGCAATGCCACAAGCGCATATGATGACGACGAATTGAGGGCTGCGGTACTTGAGCAGAATGGATTGATGTCATGCAGCGGCCCGCCGCCCATGCAACTCGGCTACTGATGTATAGATTTGATCGAACGTTTGAACATTACTGCCAGACATATGGCTGACTGCCACAACGTAATCTCACCCCAACGAAAGATAACAGCCTCGGATACTGTTGGTCGTGGGTCGGCATCATCACACAAAGTGACACAGAGTGAGTAGTAGATCAAACATCTGACGGCGTGTGTCCTGCGGCGAGAAAGTTCGAGTGCGAGTTTGTAGGCAGTGCTGACGCAGCACCTCACACGCCGGAACGGCACTGGCACGACGCACACAACCGCGCCGCTTGGACAATATGTGCGGCAGATTCAAGCAGAATGCAAAGAGAGTCAAGGGCCGCGGGGCGAGTGCAACTGTACGTAGAAGAGAGAGCGGGGAGGACGGAGGGGAGAAGCGCGTGGCCGGCGATCAGGGGAAGCGGGAGAAGGGGGATTGGACCGAGCGGCCGACGTCGCGTTGGAGGAGCGCCGGGGAGAATGGGGAAAAGTCGCTGGGGTTTGGGTCCCTCCTCGCCGCCCGCGCCCGCATATATCATCCCCAGCTCGTCCCCAGCCATGCCTTTCACCGCTCTCTAGACCGCCCAGCTCCTCCTGTCCTTTGTCCCGATCCCTGCACGGCCCCCAACGCCCTCTCGCACTGTCATCACTTTAGGCCACTTCCGTCCCTTAACCAAATTGGGTATGCGTCTTGATGTCGTCGCGCGCATCTCCTCGGGGGCTGACTAGTCGTCTTCTCTCTCTTCCAGCTATCATGACTCTGTCTGCGGGCCCCTCTACCCTCAACCCGGCGTCCGTGAGGCCGTACGCATCGTCCCCGCTCGTTCCGAACACAACACCTCGCCCATCACGGTCACTCGGCACCGCGCCGTCTTTCCCCGTATCGCGACCACTGCGTCCCTTTCCCTCCATCGCCAACTCCTTGTCCTCCGGCCTCCCGCAGCGACCAGGCGTGTTCGGAGGAAAGAGACCGGTCAAAATCATCGAGCCACCTGCCAATATCAAATGCGAGTTCGTTCTGAACCTCACACAAGCGGAGTTCAGTCGACAGGATTGACTGCGTCTGAAAGGTGTGTCCTACAGCTGTCTTTTGAGCCTTCTCGGCTAACGTTCGTAGCCTTAGATGCCTATTCCCGGGCCCATCTTACTCCAGGGTTGCCTTTTGACGTTCACTGCAA